GGGAAAGAGGGAAAAGAGCAGAGCAACGGGGCCAGTTCTGATCCTGCCAAGAGATTATAGGAAGAAAGAAGAAATTAAAAAAAAAACCCAATAATACACAAATAAAACCACCAAACAAGTAGCAACAAGCACGGAGCAGCCCCAGCACAAGGTGTAAACAGAAGCTGCTCCAGATCCAGAATCTGGATCTCCTGGAAAGCAACAGCACAACATGCTTTGTACACCCCGAGAGCTGAGCAGCCAAGGGGGGGGAGGTTGTGGTTTTGAAGCTCAAATGGATCTGGTTTGTTGGGTTGTTTTTTTTTTTCCTGCTTTGATGCAAAAAAGTTGAAGCGATGTCGGAGTCTCCAAGCACCGAGGGGAAAGGGATGAGGGAGAAGTGCAATGGGAAGAGGTGGCATTGGGATAGAGGGACCCTGAGACCAGGGAGAGGAGGTCTCAGGGCTGGGAAATCAGGACAGGAGAGAGCAAAGAAATATAAAATAATACAGGTATAAAAAAACCCAACTGGTGTGGAGGAGGAGGAGGGGGACACGGACAGTCAAGTGTTACTGTCGCCTTCCCCGAAGCAAGAATAATAATAATAACAACAATAAAAAATTCCCAGTTGAGGTGACAATGAAGAGTCTGACAGAATTCCCTTCCCTGGGGGAAAATAAAAATACAAATGAGGTACCAGCTCCACCCCAAAAAACCCTGTGTGTGTCCCCAAACAGTCACCGGGTTTTTTTGTCTCTCTCAGAAATCAAAAGGCAGGATCCCCTGCCTGGGTGGGTTGTTCAGATCCAGTCTCTCCTCCTACCCTGCAAAGAGGGTATTTGTTCAGTGCTCCACGGAACCTTGGGCAGGTCTCACATGGTTATCCAGCTTTTTGTTTGGAAAAAAACAAAAAAATAATAAAATAATAATAATTATATAAAATATATACAGGACAATGAAGAACGTCCATGGAAATAAACGGGGCGGCTGGAAAAGATGCTTCAGAAAAAAGGCCAAAATGCAACAAATTCCCAACTCTTCCCCCAAAGTGACGCTTGCTAGTCCTCCAAGACCACAATCTCCACGTTATGGACCTGGTGCTGATGATCCTCCACATCTCCCACCACTTTGTCCTCAGTCCTCAGCTCTGTCTCCAGGATCACAGCTTTCCCCTCCGGCTCCTCCGCCTCCGCTTCGGGATCGGGCGCCGGGTCAATCTCTATGATGGTTTGTCCATCCTCTGAGGTGCCTTCCACAGCTTGGATGGTGGAGGTGAGCCCAGACTCCATGGCCACCAGTTCCACGGGGTTGACCACCGTTGCCACGTTGGCCAGGTTGCCACTGTCCTGCATGGCTGCCGAGCTGAGCAGCGCCAGGCTGGAGGAGGGGTGGAGGGTGACGGCGTCGGAGGAGCTGGTCTTGGAGGAGGACACCACGGTGGCGTAACGGAAGAGCTGGGAGCCAGAAGGCAAGGTGTGGACAGTCACGGGGCTGGAGCCTTGGCTGATGGTTGCCACGGGGATGTTGCCCACGGAGAACTGCTGTCCCACGGGGGCGATGGCGATGGGGGAGATGACGGTGAACTGGGGCTGCTGGAGGGGGGTGGAGGGGCTGAGGACGGTGGCCGAGGCCGGGCGCTGCAGCCGGGGCCTCTTGGGGGGCTTGGGGGCACTGACAGGCATCAGCACCACGTTCTGGATGGTTTGGGATTTAGCCTTCTGGTCCTTGGCCAGTTTCTTCTGCTCTTCCAGCTGCCGCTCCAGGTCTACAAAGGAGAAGGGGGAAGCTGCTGGGTTCCACAACCAACCAGGGCAGCCCGTGTCTGCCACAGGAGGGGTCCTGACCTGGGCTGGGGGGGAGGCGTCCCTGCCCATGCAGGGGGGTTGGATCTAGATGATCTATAAGGTTTCTTCTAACCCAAGCCATTCTATGATTTCACTCAAGATCAAACTGCAGGGAAGGAAAGGGCCAGGTTTTCCTGCCACCCACATGGACCTGGGCAATATTCTGCTCAGCCTGCTCTGGCTGCTGCCAGCACCTGGGTGAGGAGCAGGCAATGCTGCTCCAATGTGGGGAAGGGGCTGGAGCACAAATTGAGCAGGAGCAGCTGAGGGAGCTGGGGGTGTCCAGCCTGGAGCAAAAGAGGCTGAGGGGAGACCTTCATAAGCAGGAAAAAGTTCTCCCTTCACTTTTTCCAGTGAAACTGGTCATCTGAATAAGCAACAGGACAAGAGGAAGTGGCCTCAGGTTGTGCCAGGGAAGGTTTAGATTGGATCTTGGGAACAATTTCTCCATGGAAAGGGTTGTCAAGCCCTGGCCCAGGCTGCCCGGGGGGGAGTCCCCATCCCTGGAGGGGTTGTGTAGGTGTGGTTCTGAGGGACATGGAGCAATGGTGGCCTTGGCAGTGGTGGGTTAGTGATTGGGCTTGATGACCTTAAAGGTCTTTTTCAACCAAAACAATTCTAGGATTTGCTATTTCCACTCTCTTTCCCCCAGCAAGAAGTTGGGCATTTCTCCCCACCAAGCAAGACCCACCCAGGAGGGAGGGTGGACAAAGCCCCTCCAGGCAGCCGGAGCTGCTTCCTGAGCTCAGCTGGGTCCCCTCCCAGGAGCCAAACACCTGCCCTGTAACAGGGAGCAGGTCTGCCTGGGTCAACCAAACATCTCCCTCAGATTTTTATGAACGTTTGAAGCAGCCCAGTAACATCATTTATCCAGGGCAGTGGGGGACTGGGACACCCCAAATACGAGCAGGTCCTACAGGACACACTGAGGATGGAGCCTCATCCAGCCCTGGGGGATCAGGTTATTGGCTGCAGCTCAGAAGCAGCCAGACACCTGATAGCTCCACACCAGGACCAGGAGACAACTCAGCAGCCTGTGCAAGGAGAAGCTCCTTAGGTGGGGCCCAAGCAACTGCTCCATGTGAGGGGAATTCCACACAAACCCCAGGTGGGAAAGGGATCGGGACATGTTTGTGTATTGAACAAGAAGCCAAACATGGTTCATATGTTGAAGGAAAAGCATCTCCCAAGAGCAGCAACAGGATGAGCAACCCTGCTGGGCACTGCCTGTACCTGCCAGTGTGTAGAGGAACTGCTCCTCTCCTTGCTCTGTCTGGTTTTTCTTGTTGTCGAGACCCTTCTTGACTGTGTCCATCAGGCCAAAGGTGTGGGCAACGTTGTTCAGGACTGCAGCATCTGCAAGGGAAGGGTGTGAGGATGGATGCCTGGTCCCACGTGAGACACAGGTACTCAAAAAATGCTTGGATTACACCCCAATTTTTCTGCTGCTTTTTCTGAAACTGCCTCTGCTCTCCCCCCCCCAAGGGCAGACCAAGCTCCTGCATCCTTCTCATGGTTTGACTCAGGATCAGCAATTGAACCAGGCAGGAGATGGTTCTTCCAGGAAGAAGCATGCTTCAGTCTCCGGCGACTGGTCCTTCAACCAGGATGGTGCTTCAACCTCAAATGCTCAATATTAGAGGTGTCCTGCCTCCAGCCAGGGGGAGGAGAGGGACAACCGAGTTTACTGGACTGTGTGGATTCGATGGCCGGGCACATTAGAACCACAAAGGTATAAAGCCCTGGTGGACACTGGTGCACAGTGCACACTGGTGCCATCAAATCATAAAGGCACAGAATCTGTCACTATTTCTGGAGTAACAGGGTTATCTCAACAACTGACTGTTGTGGAGGCCATTGTGAGCCTCACTGGTAAGGAGTGGTAAGTGCACCCTGTAGTGACTGGGCCAGATGCTCCTTGCATCCTTGGCATAGACTATCTCACGAAAGGATACTTCTGTGACCCAAAATGGTACTTGTGGGCCCTTGGTATAGTAGCTGTAGAGACTGAGAACACTGAACAGCTGCATACTTTGCCTGGCCTTTCAGATGACCCTTCTCTAGTGTGGTTGCTGAAGGCTGAAGACCAACAGGTGCCAATTGCCACGTCAACAGTGCACAGACGACAGTATCGCACCAACAGAGACTCTGTGATCCCCATTCATAAGCTAATCTGGCAATTGGAAAGCAAGGAGTGACCAGCAGTTCTCACTCACCCTTCAACAGTCCTATCTGGCCAGTGTGAAAGCCTTTTGGCAAGTGGAGGCTGACAGTGGATTATTGTGGCCTCAATGAGGAGACACCACCAACTCAGTGCTGCTGTACCGGACATGCTAGAACTTCAGTATGAGCTGGAGTCGAAAGCAGCCAGGTGGTGTTGCCACTATTGACATTGCTCATGCCTTTTTCTCTATTCCTATAGCACCAGAGTGCAGGCCACAGTTTGCTTTCACCTGGAGGGGAGTCCAGTACACCTGGAATCGACTGCCCCAGGGGTGCAAACACAGCTCAACCATTTGCCATGGACTGATCCATGCTGCACTGGAGAAGGGTGGAGCTCCAGAACACCTGCAGTACATTGATGACATAATTGTGTGGGGTGACACATCAGAAGTTTTTGAGAAAGGCAAAAAGATCATCCAAATTCTTCTGGATGCTGGTTTTGCTGTGAAAAGAAGCAAGGTCAAGACAGAGAGACATTCTGGATTGAAAACAAAACTAGACAGGTTTAAGGAAACACAAGTGATAAAAGAAAATACGTACAATTATATACAAATGTGTTCAGGATTGTTCAAACCCCTTTTGCCTCCCCCCACCCCCAGCAGCTCCTACAGCATCTCCCAAGCTGTGAGCAGTCCTGAAATGTCCTGGACCTGCCGGAGAGAGCGGCAGAGCAGACAGGGGCGGAGGGTGGAGTGATGAGGGTCAGGAATGCACGGACCTAGGGGTCAATGGTGATGGATAGATGGAGTCCTCTTTGGACACTGGCCGTGGATGGAAGAGAAAGGAAGAAGAAGCAGGAAGGAAGTTGACTTCCATGATCTC